CCCCAAAACCCCAAAACCCCAAAACCCCAAAACCCCTTTTCTAAATTATATAATAATTTTTGTAAAAAAGATACCACCAAGGTAAGACTCTTCTAAGCCTTCCGAAAGAGCTAAATTTAGCTATTCTAGTCATACATCTTAATTAATGCTTGATATAGATGAAGATTTTATCATTAGCTATTTTGAGGTAAGCAAAGTAATCATCAATACAGTCTTTTCTAATCGGTCTTATATCACCCAATCAGAATTCTAACGAATTTTGGTATAGCGTCCTACTCTTGTCTATTAACTGAAAATATGACGAAGAAGCAGCAGTAGAGTATATGTACGCCTGCTCGTTAGCTTATTGTCCTCCTGCACAAATATAACAGAAAGAGACTGTAAACAAGCAACTTATATGACAGAAAGCTTAGGCTTCAAGCCTATATTTGTCCACGATAATGGTGGGATAATAAGCCCCATTTTCCTTGTTATTTTGGAAAGAGAGCATAAAAAAGAGCTGGTTGTTTCCTTTTCTGGAACTAAAGGGCCAAGTGAACTTATTGAAGAAATTATTAATAGTCTACCAAAGAAATATGCTCTCCATGAAAATGATGATGCAAGAGTATTTGCTTTCTTCTACGATCATTATGTCAACGATTTTAAGGACTTATTCCTTAACAAAATATCAGAACTTCTTTCAATGGAAAAGTATGATGATTATAAAATAGTTTTTACAGGACACTCACTTGGAGGTGCATTAGCTTTACATGCAGCAGCTGATGGAACTCTTAGTAACTTATACCAAAATAGAAATATCTCGATATATACTTACGGTCAGCCAAGAGTTGGAAATAGAGAGTTTTATAATCTATTCTTAGAAAATATTGATGACTATTACCGATTGGTTCACCATAAAGACTTGGTAGCACATGTTCCTCCTTGTATTCCTGACTTTTCAGGAGGATGTCTTTCAGATGGAGAATATCCTATCTATCCCTCACATGGACCAACTGAGATTTTTTATGATGAAGACATGGAGTCATACACAATATGTGATGACCTAGATGGTGAGGATCCTTATTGTTCGAACTCAATTTTTAGTGACAGTTTCTCAAACCACAAGAGGTATTTTGGAGAGCATGTAGGGCATCTTTACAAGGAAGATCCTCCTATAGGCTCACAAATATCCCAGATGGTAAAAGAGCTTATAACTTCTCAATAACAATCTATTAGGTCCTAAGGTTTTTTCAACATTTTTTAAAGTTGCTTATTTCCTTCAATTTTTAAAATATTAAAAGGGGTTTTGGGGTTTTGGGGTTTTGGGGTTTTGGGGTTTTGGGG